CCGCGTCTGAAACAGCCCGGCAGCGGCTGAATCAGGACGCCTGGGGCAGAGCAGCTGGGGTGCTGCCGGGTTGGTTCGGAGTGGCGCTGCGGGACCAACCCGGCAGCCCCCAGCTGCTCTACCCCAGGGGTAGGCAAGAAAAGCCTGGTCTGCTGGGGGGGGCACTAGCTGCACCCCTCCCCCAGCAGACCAGGGATACGGGGGTGGCGGGACCGCCCAAGTCCTCCACGGCTTTGCTCCATCTCTCTGGTCTGCTGACCTGGGAGACGCGGAGCAAAGCCGCAGAGCACGCGGGCAGCGGGACAGTCCAGGCGCGCCACGCTGTCCCACTGCTGGCGTGCTCCGAGGCTTTGCTCCCCATCTCCCTGGTCTGCTGGAGAGGACAGGACAGCCCAGGCGCGCCTGGGCTGCCCCGGAGCCCCAGCCCCTCCGTGGCTTTGCAAAGCTGCGGGGGAAGCCGGCGGCGGGACAGCCCAGGCGTGCCTGGGCTGCCCGGCTGCCTGGCCCCCCCCTCGGCTTTGCTCTGCGTCTTCCTGGTCTGCAGACCAGGGAGACGCGGAGAAAGCCCCGGAGTACACGGGTGGCAGGACCGCGAGGTCCCACAGTCCGTGTCCTCCGGGGGAGCCCCATTCGTAACTGCGGATCCGATGTAAGTTGGATCCGCGTAAGTCGGGGACTGCCTGTATTTATTTCTGAGTGAAATCTTACAAAGCAATTGCTGGGACACCACATATGGCAGTATTTATTTAGCTTTCTTCCTGCATTTTGTAAAGGAGTCCTGTATTGGCACACTGTGCTTTATTGCTGAAAGATCATGAGTGACACTACTTCAAGGTTTATACGTCTGAGAACATTTTTTTTATTCTTGCAGACACTCTACCTATAGATAAAATAAAAACAAACTGCTTGTATTGGAAGCTTTCAGTCAAGAGACTTATGTAGCTCTTCATTAGTTTTACAATACATAGGAAATTATTTAAATGAGATTATATTAAGCTTGTTCCTAATATGTTTCATAGATGGGCAGAGAAGTTGGATCAGCTGACGGACACTGCTACAAAAGACCCAGAAGGATTCTTGGGGCACCCTGTAAATGCATTCAAGTTAATGAAACGACTTAACACTGAGTGGGGTGAGCTGGAGAATCTGGTCCTGAAGGATATGTCTGATGGTAAGTCTGAGGAACATGTATTTGTACTGCCTCTGCAGTACAAAAATCAATGATCAAACACTTTGGCCGGAAAAATTATTTGACTTGTATCTTGCATGCATCATTGAAGAAACCCAATTTTCAACAATGTGAGTCTCTCTTGTAGAACCCTTTTTCCCCTGTATGTAGGTACATGTAATGCACTTATCACCTTATCACATTGCTGATGATGCTGGTAAAAAGTTTGACCAGCTTGGAGCTATACAGAAATAAATCAGAATCTCAAAGAAAACTTCAGTGGCAGAAGGACTAAATCAGTAAATTCAGAGCTCTGTTTCCTCAGAGGGGACTTTTTGATGGTTCTTGGTGTTCAGGTTTGTCACTTGGTTATCCCCTGCCTCCAGCAAGATAGAAACTTGCTAGAGTTTAACTAGGTATCCGCTCCCTGAAACAGTCTATTCGCCAGCCAGTCGTCTTTAGGCTGTGCCTTAGTTTATCTTGCACGTTAATATATATCCCAGTCCCCAAGACGTTTTGAAGCATTCTGTTGTAGTATTTGGCACCTTATCTGTTGAGCACTCTCAGCAATACCATGCATGCTGTCCCCAAGGAAGCAGTATATGTACCTGTTTACTCAAAGACTTTAGGGCTAGAAGAGACAGTCATGATTATCTAATCTGTCTTCTGAACCAGGTCCATAATCCATAACCTCTGGCTGAATTTACTGATTTTTCTGAAGTCCTCAAATATTGATTTTTAAAGACTTTAAAGTCTTGTTTCCCTGTTGACTTCCTGTTGCCTTAGTATGTGAATGGGGCCTTCATTTTGTGGGCTTATAAAACTTAATTTACATTAATTTATACTCTTTTTTTTCACTACCCCAAAAATACTTTCTCTCCCTCCTATCCCAAAAACTGCATGGAAGTTTAAAAAAAAAAAATTTGATATTTTCTCTCCCTCCTATCCCAAAAACTGCATGGAAGTTTAAAAAAAAAAATTTGAAGGACTGATATTCAGAAATATACTCTGAATCAAGATTTTCAATCATGGTGAAGTATTGTGAAAATTAAACTACACACTTAATGCTGAGAAACTACCCCATATAAGCTTCTACTTAAAATAAGGTGTCTTTCAACATCCTTTGGTGTGAAATCAGTGGTGATGTTTATTCCTAATACACTTGCTGGAATAATATCACAGATGCTTACTCAAGGTTGGTTCTGCATGGGTAGGAACAATGATACATTTTGCACTTCTAAAATCTGGCACTTTCTGGTCCGGCAACACCCATGGTCCAGCAGGACCGTGGGTTGCTCCTGGACCAGAGAGCCCAGGAGCCTAATAGCAGGAGATCCGGGAGCCTAACAGCAGGAGATTCAGGAGCCCAGCCAGAGCTGGGGGCGGCAGGGCTAGAGGAGCCCCACAGGAGTGCTGGGCCTGGCACCGGAGCCGTAGAACCCTGGCAGCGCAGGGCTGGGGAACCTTGGTCACTAGCAGCAGCAGCAAGGAGAAGAACCCCATCCACCTACGGCAGTATGGGGCTGGGTGCCAGAGAAGCCCAGCAACATGTGGCAGCACAGAGCTGGGGAAACCTGGTTACCTGCAGCAGGGCAGGGCTGTGAGCCTGGAAAAGCCTGGCAGTGCAGAGCTGGAGAACTGTAGCCACCGGTGCAGTGGGGGGCTGGGGGTGAAGAAGCCCAGCTCTGCAGCTGTGCGGAGCCAGGGAAACTTGGCAGTGCAAGGCCAGTACCAGAGCTGGAGAATGCCGGCTACTCACGTCAGCCCGGAGCAAAAAGGGGGGCAGCAGCATCATAATGGACTGCCCTACTGGGGAGGGAGTAGAGGGGTTCAGAGGCAGAAGGGGCAAGTGGAAAGGACACCTCCCTGATGTGGCAAGTTCTCTTGTTCAGGACTGGTCAGGTCCCAATGGTGCTGGATCAGGGAGGTCCAACCTGTACTATTTTTCTTTTCCTATGCCGTGTTATCTCAGACAATTGCCATATTCTATTTTTCTTTTCGTATGCCGTGTTATCTCAGACAATTGCCATATTTCATAGGGGTTCTTTTGGAAGACGAGACTGAAGACGACAAAGAAACTGTTCAATTTAATTATAATTATCTCTGGATTTGCTGTGTTGATTTATAAATGGTCTTGTGTGTGACTTATTCATTGGCTTGTTTGGACACTCGTGAAATGACTTACTGAAAAAATCCAGAGAGGTGCACTGTTAGCACACTTGCTCCATGCAAACAGGCTTATGCTTGCTGTTGATCTAGTGTCCCATCCAAAGATGGTAACTTTTGTAATAACATTTAACTCTGATGTAGTAATAGCCAGCAGTGAGATACTTGCTTTCATCCTACAACTTGTGTAACAATATTTAATTGTAACTTAAATGTTTGTAATATTAACTCCAGAACAAGCAAATCCCAGTCCTTTTCTTGGTTGTCTTAACCTTTTTCTTTTCCCCCTCCCCAAGGCTTTATCTCTAACATGACTATCCAACGCCAGTATTTTCCTAATGATGAAGATCAGGCTGGTGCAGCCAAAGCTCTCCTACGGCTCCAGGATACCTACAATTTGGATACAGACACCCTCTCAAAGGGGAATCTTCCTGGTAAGAAACACCTGTATTAGTTTGGAAAGATTACTATGAAATTATAGAACACCTAGATTATAAACCTTTTTGCAGAGTCTTTTCTTCATGCCTGTCTGTAGAGGACTTAACATGTTGTTGATAATGTGAAAGAATGCAGAGTTTGCTAATCTTCAGCCAGTCTGTGTTTACATAACCTGGACCAAATTACACAAGTTTAATTCAATGACTTCAGGAAGTTGTAAGTAACATCTCCCTGAAGTGCCAGGTTGTACCCTGGTTTACTCTGGCAAAACAAGCACTGGTACTATAACACTTCCTTGGGATTGTCTGATGGGGAGGGATATAACAAATGCTGAAATACTATGCCACACCCAAGCCTCCTCCCAGGTTCATTTTTGGATGTGTTGGACTTTCCCTCCGTTCTTTGGCAATGTGAATGTTGCAACTGTTTTCTTCATCACTATCTTGCCTTCTGATGGGTTTGCTGCTGCCAGGACACTGTGCTTGGGTTTAGAATGGCAAATACTGGTACAGCCAGTCCCCGAGTTGCGAACAGTTGACTTACAACCATTTGCATTTACGACCGAAGCTGTCGTAAATGGTGGACCCTGAGTTACGAATGCGATCCGCACTTACGAACAGTGCGGTTGCATGTAACTCTATGGGGTCCAACTTATGAACAAACTGAGTTATGAACCAATTGCTTGGTCCGTAACCGGTTCATAAGTCGGGGAGAGGCTGTATTAAATTCTGACTTGCACAGAGCTAGATTCAGTGGATGTTTGTATGTAGGAAGAAGTAAAAATCAGTTTTATATTTGGCTGCTTATGGAGCTACTGCCTGTGATCAAGCAAAATTCTTTCCTAGAGCAAGGTTAATTGCTCAATATTTCAAGTTGCAAGTGAGTTTCTGTTTATAAGCTCACTTCGTAGCTCCTCTCTAAAATACCGTAGAATTCGCACACATGGCCGAATGAAAATTAGATTGTCTATAAAAAAAGCTACATAGTAAAAGACAGAACGTGTGGAAAACAGACATAATCACTTGCACTTATACAAAGCTAGCTAAAATAATATTCACAGTTGTGTCTGGGGAAGAAAAGTATAAAAGTTCCTAAATGTCTGTACTGGTTTCTCTCTCCCTCTGTTCTCTTCAAAAACAGTGCTTTCGCAACTGAGAGAGAAATGAGCACGTCATGATCCATGTTCTGTTTTCATAAGCTGTCATGTTTAGATATAGAACCAATCACTCCCAGTTTTATTAAGTATGTTGCAAAGCATCTTTCCTGGTTTTGTTAATCTTTACTATTTCAAGGTTATGACAATTTAAAAAAAAACCAAAAAAAAACCCCGATCTTCATCTGTTGATATTGTCTCTAAGAACTTAAGTGAATTTATGGATCATATTCTATTGTCTTTTTTACAAGCCAAACTGTGTGCTGCCTAGTAGTATAATTCTGTTTTTAATAGTATTGTGATAAAATTACATCATCGAACCCATCATAATGCTGATCATTTTCATCCTAGAACAGGGGTCTCAAGCTCCCAGCCCAAGAGCTGTCACCAGCCAGATCAATTGTGGAATCTGGCCTGGAATGCTTGAGGCAAGGGCATACTGTCCATTACTACCCCACCCCTACCCGCCATCACAGTTTCTCTTCTTCCCCCCTGCCCTGCACCCTGTCCCTAAGGGTGTAGCTCTGGGGATCACTGGGCGGGGGAGGGGGGGTGTTCCTGGCGCTGCAGGTGCAGCTGCAGCAGCCATCTTTTCCTCTCCTCTGCACTTCCCCTTGCTGCAGGAGCCACAGGGGAAGTAGAGTGCCCTGGGCAAGTGCAGCCCCAGCCCACCAGGAGTCCTGGGCTGTATTGTGCAATCTCTCTAGCTTTGGATAGCCTTCGGGCTGGGAGTTTGAGACTCCTGTTTCAGAAGTAAAGTTATGTGGTTTTCCTAGCCTCTAGAGTTAATTGAATTCTAAATCTAGTATTTTACTTATTTGTCTTCTGTAGACTTTTCAGTCATTAATGTATCCAGTTTTACCTCCATAGTCTTTGTTTTGTCCGGTTCATTTGAGCATTGCTACCTCTTTGCCCAATTGCTCTGAATTTCAGGCCTTCTTGTTTTTTAAACTGAGATTGTATTGAGCAGTTGCCCTGGCTATTACTATAGAAAAATGCACAATTACTGTATAATTTTCTTGTCACACAAGTAAGTGTTAGTTATTAGTGCTGTTTGTGTGGTGAGCGTAAATCCTTTAAACTTGATTCTCATCTGTGGATGTTATGTTTTCTAAGCATCCATATTACACCTGCAAGCAATAAATATTATGGGAGAGGAGGCTTGAGGCTGTGCCCTTTTGACACAATCCAAAGTGGGGTAGGTTCTCAACAATATTCCTTTGCTACCTCGTTTTTTGGGGGGCGGGAGAAAGGGGTGTGGTGGGGAGTATGTCTATAGTGTAGAAAACATTTTGTGGCTGGCTCAGGTCAGCTGACTCAAGCTTGTGGGGCTATAAAATTGCAGAATAGATGTCTGGTCTCAGGCTGGAGCCCAGGCTGAGACCCTAGAGGAGATGAGAGGCAGGCTCCAACCTAAGACTGAACTGCTGTGTTCAAGTCCTGTGAGCCTGAGCCCCATGAGTCAGCTGACCTGAGCCAGCCACAGGTGTCTTTATTGCAGTGTAGACCTACTCTACACTACACCCTCTTTCTTCCCTCCCCCACCTCCAATCTAACCTGTGCAACTTAGCTGAAGTGGACATACTTGCTGCAGTGTATTCCATGTGGTAAGGTTGGTGGGGGCTGCTCTCTAATCAACTCCGTAGCTTTGGCTACTCCTCTTGTCCTGATGGAGAGCACTCAGAGGTTAATTTTATTACATCTAAGCAGATGTGATAAATTGACCACCAGTGAATCTATCGCTGCAGCGTGGATACAGCATGTAGTGAAGACAAACCCAAAGAAGTTGATGGTGGTGGAACCCCTTTGAGACAATCTGCATGAAATTAAGAGTCTAAAAATCAAGAGTTTAATTAAAACAAAGTAAAAGATGATTTGATTACAATGAAATAAATTGAACACACAGCATATTTAGTCTTAAACCCTGTAACTAAACCCTAGATGAGCTTTTTTTTTCAGTGAATAGAAAAATACTTATCTTGAGAAATTGGAGGGCAGAGAGCAGATGCTACAGACCAAAAAACTAGGAAATCCAGTTTACATTCATGATTATATTAACTCCAGGTGTAAAAGTAAAGCAATTGAGCTGATTCAATGAAGGACACTGCTTTTCCTCTAGTGTTTCTTTTACACCATCCTGTACTTTCAATATATTTGCCATTTCCCTTATATGAGACAGGGTTTTATTCTTCAGTGGGCCCTGAATTATAGAGGTAAAAATAGGAACCTGTAATTTACTTACGAAGACTTCAAATTAAACTGTGAAATAGAGGCCATTTTAGACCCTGCTTCTAAAAATGAGTTGCTTCAAAACCTTTACCAGCTGTGCAATTACTAATTATCATAGTTGATTCTTCTCTCCCTTCCTCACTCTCATCAGCTTGTCAGTTGCTAATGAGATGTATGACAAATTTTGAAAAACATAAAATGTATCTAGAAATGCCTAACTCAGGCTGTAGAACTGGTGCTTGAACAATTTGAAATTGATTTTTGGGTCAAATCACTTCTGCATAATGTGCTTTTCAGTCACAATCCTTAGTGACTAGTCCACTAAAAACTTTATATAGCTCAGTGCTTATGCATTGTGTGTGGACTTGGATGCCAGCACTAAACAGAATAGAACTTGTTCCATTGTCATACATTTTCTTACTCCCCATTGACCTCAGGTGTGCTGTTCAAAATATGATTGCAAATTCTACATACGTTATCTGTTCTTGCTTTCTTTAGGTGTAAAGCACAAGTCGGTCTTAACAGCTGAAGATTGCTTTGAATTGGGCAAGATTGCATATACTGAAGCAGACTACTACCATACTGAGCTGTGGATGGAGCAAGCTCTGAAACAGCTTGATGATGGAGAGGTGTCAACTGTTGACAAAGTCTCCATTCTAGATTATTTGAGTTATGCTGTGTATCAGCAGGGGGACCTGAACAAAGCAATGACGCTTACCAAGCGACTTCTTGAATTGGGTATGTTGAGACTAGACCCACCATTGTAAAACTGGTATGGCAACTGTGATACAGCAGACTTTTTTTTATTATTGTCTGTAGATTACTTCTACTTTGCAGAGAAATTGTGGGTGGCTGCTTTTGTCTTACAAGTTATGGGTGAGGAAGGTATCCAATCAAGCAGTTACACTTATTGTATTAAAAGATGATGAAAATAATCTTTTCTAGTATTACTCTTTAATATAATAGTAGATGCAAGGATAGTATGGATCAGGATGGGGAGTTTGGCAAGGGAGGAGTGTTGCAAAATGATGCCTGTATTAAGAAATGATCTGCAACATGAAATCGACTCTTGTGGTACATCTGAATTCATTTTTGGATGGGAATTTGCACTTAAGGGCATGATGGTTTCTATTTTAGGCTAAATTTTACTCTTTGCATACATTTGCTTTCAAGAAGGATAAATGGGAAATTAATAACTGCATTCTTTAAAGAAGAGACAGATATTTCTAGTAGAATTTAACAGCTCTTTTTAGGTTGTAAATTCTTTTCGAATAGAATCCCTTCCTGTGTAAGTTGTACAATGTCTTGTGCAGTGGGGCCCTGATTGTCATTGAAGCATTAGGGATTCCTTTAATACCAATGACTAGGGGGCTGTACCCCCTGTTTGCTATGTTCACCAACCCCCCTTTCATCTCCCCCGAGTACTAGGGAGCTTGAGAGGCCACATGGCTCCCGCCTCCTCCCCCCTCAACTCCTGAGTACTGGGGAGGAGAGAGGCTGTGCAGCTCACCCCTCCTGCCCAAAGTACCAGGGAAGGCTGCATGGAGGGGAGAGGAGAGTGGCTGCATGGCTCCTGCATTGCATTGGTGTCATGATAATTTGAGGCAATCACTGTGTTTCATTGGAAGCTAAATATAATTAAAATTGTCAGTGACTGCATGCATAAGTATTTAGAAGCTCAGTTCTCTTCTAATGTACTGTTTAAAAATAGCAACTTGTTCAACACTTTTTTTTTTTATATATCTCTTCTATTTAGATTCTTACACCACTCTCATCACCATAATATCTGGATACCATGTTGCTTAATCTTTTATTTTCTAAACTGTCCAAAATTAGTGTTTTCTTATTCTTCAATATAGTTCAGTCTCCCGCAGATGAATTATATTCTTACGTGTCCGTAAACAGCATTGTTTAAACTGAGCTCCTACTGCAGGATCTCTCTTGTTAATGATGTATGAGGCTGAAAAAACTCGTATGGAGTCTGTAGACCTGACCCATGAAAACTCTATCTTTCAATTTGCAAACTGAGCAAACTTGATTTGAAATCATTGAAAGATAAATATAGCATCCAGTGATGCTAGTGATATTTAGGCACCCTTTCATAGTATACCTAGGCATTTTTATCATTGCGGTACCTGAGTGCCTAAAGGAAGACGTTCTAATCTTAATTCCGAATTAATCTTTTTGCAGTGGTAAAAACCGTTCTATAAATGGAGCACTGAGCTTGCATAGTTTGCTAAAATAGCAGCTTTAGGTGATGCAGTTTGTCAGACAAAACTGCTACTTTAACAAACTATCAGTCTTTCTGTCCCAGCTCTCTCCTTAGGCTTTCCTGGTGGGAACAATGCAGCCTATTTCATACATTATCTCTTCTTCTTCATCTACCTCTCTATTCTTGCAGACTCTCTCCCCAGTGATATAGTTGTATCTTACAACAGTGTCTGGATAGTCCATTTCTTGGATTTTGTTGGATAAACTAAGCTTTCTCGTGTTCATTCTTTGCTTCCTTGTACAATGAGCAAGGAGAACACAGAAATGTTACCTTAACTTGTCCTCTATTTAGTGGGTCAGGCTTTCAGCTATATTTTTCTGATTTTTTTAACTATGTGAGCATGTCTGCTCATTAAGCATTAGTTTTTGGCAACTTCTGTCTAAGAACTAATAGTTGTTTCTTTTCAAGGAGCTATTTTCATGTGCTCTTTCAGGTTGATTCCTACATACTTACTTGTGGTGTCTCTCCATTAGATCCTGAGCATCAGAGAGCAAATGGTAATTTAAAATACTTTGAATATATCATGTCTAAAGAAAAAGAAGCAAATAAGACTGCTACCAAAACAGATAGCCAGATTGACAAGGAAACCAAGGCTAAAAAAAAGGAACCAAACAAAGATTACCTGCCAGAGAGACAGAAGTATGAAATGCTGTGCCGTGGAGAGGGACTTAAAATGGTAAAGTGGACTAGCTTTTTTTTAAGCTTTTGTTTAATCTACAAAACCAGTCATGCAGTACTCATTTAGAGGTGTCAGAAAGTTCAGTTGTTAAAGAGGAGTCAAGTTTCAGGGATGAGCAAATGCACCTATTAGAATGTTGTTTTCCATGTTACTCCTATCCAAGAGTGGCCTATATTCAAAGCATTTTTGTTGAATATTTGCAAGAAGTTTGTATGCAGCTTGAATATAAAGAACTTGTTGTAGCAATAGGATGGATGAGTATAGGTATATAGTGGAGGAAATGAAGGGAGACAGTGGAACATCTATGAATAAAGAAACTGTAACCCATATGTGAGGGTTAGTGAGCAGCATCCTATTACAAATGTATTTTAATACCAGTGCACCGAGAAAATAAATTAACGGTATTGGATTACAACAAAGATCCATTACTACACACAGTACTGAACCTAAAAAAGAATATAAAGTCAATATTTGCTATAAAATGTCTCTAATATTAAACTAGTTGAAAGAATGACTTCTCAGACAGATCAAGTAGAAATTTTGAGGATACTCCAGCCTCCTCAATTGATTAAGTACAATTGCTAAGTACAAGTAGGTACAGGAAAACCTAATTACTGTTTTTTGTCCTTAGGCTGTATTTCTTCATTCTATCACACCAGTGAATGACTAGCCTTCTTTAAGTGCTCTTAGATGAATTAATTCATAGGTACTTCACAAAGTTTTCTAAAAAATGGTGAACTCCTTTGAAATCTAGTTTAAGAGCAAGAGGGTTGATCTCTTCTTTCTTAATTTTTGTTGCAATCATATGCAAAACTTACAATTTAACCAATTTGTAAATAACCCATAGTTTAATTTTTGCTAAATTTTAATTTGCTTGATCACACCTCCCCCCTTTATGAATAGTCTACACTGTATAGTCTGCCCCTGGATCTTTCACAGATTTTAGCCTTAATCTCCCATGGACTTAAGTCTCATGCACAGGGGCTATGGCTACATTACGGGGGTTTTCCAGGATACCAGAGGTGTCCTGGAAAAACTCCTTCATGTCTAGGGAGGAATGCATCTGCTCTTCTGCTTGTTTTTGCGGAAGAGCAGACACACTCTTTTGGAAGCCCCGTCAGCCCTGTCTTCCTCCTCCCACGAGGAAGAAGGTCTCTTCCGAAAGAAGAGGTTTTTCCAAAATTTGGCCCAAATTTTGGAAAAGCTTCTTTGAAAGAAGCTATCGGAAAAAGGTACATAAATTGCAGAGCGCAATTTGCATACCTTTTTCCAAAAGATCACTGTAGTGGTAGACATAACCTGGGTTTGTATGTGTGTGAAGCCCAGGCTAGCTTAAGGACATGGGTTAGAACCTAGGCTCCACTTTAAGAGTTGGGCAGGAGCCCACCCAATTTGCTGTAAGGATGCAGGCCAAACCATTCAAGTTCTTATGCTCCTCTAATGCCCTTCCCATAATTCCCTCAACTGTTCTTGCAAGTGACAGGAAAAGAATCTTAGATTATCTCAGCATAAAGAACAATGAGAGATTCTCCTAGACACCTGGGTGAATGGAGTAACAGTCACAACACTGTGAGGGGTTGGGCTTTGTAGTGAGGACATTGAAACCTGGGTATGATATAGCCTTAGTGTTTTATGCCACCTAAATACAGGTACGAACACCAACAGAGAAAGTGGGCAGATGGAATATGACAGGTCAACAAGTGTGAATATATACTCAGGCTAGTTGGGTAATATTAGGTATGTTTGTCATAGTGTGTAATTGCTTTTATTTAGCATGAATAAGTACTAATGATTATTTGAGACTTGAAGTCAAGTAATTACAAAGTTGAATGGTCACGTGCCTTCAACCAACCAAAATGTGATGCTATCTCCCTTTTCTTAAAAATAAATACGAATGACAGGCTTTTTAAGGAAAGGGGGATAGTGTTGCATTTGGATTGGTTGAAGGCATCTGACTATAAACTTCATAATTGCTTGACATCTAAAGTCTCAATCATTAGAGCTTGCTCACATAAATAGCATTACAAGACACTTGTTTTATTCTTTTTTTGTTCTACCTTGCTTTTAGACACCTCGGAGAGAGAAGAAACTCTTCTGCCGCTATTATGATGGAAACCAAAATCCCAGATACATTCTGGGCCCTGTCAAACAGGAGGATGAATGGGACAAACCTCGGATTGTTCGCTTCATTGAAATTATTTCTGATGAAGAAATAGAAACTGTGAAAGAACTAGCAAAGCCAAGGGTAAAGAGCTTCACTTGTCTCTAGTTTTGGATACTTCGATGCCATCTATAATGTACTATGAGTATCGGCTCAATTCACTTCATGATTGAGTTTGTAAAGTTAGCTTGGGCAAATGCTGTTGCACACAGCAGTTTTTTCCTCTTGATGGCTTACATTTCCAACTGTCCTGTAACTATTAGAATCTCTTCCTGGTGATGGCAGTGCAGATTTCTGTTGTATATGATTTTTGTGGGTGCCGTCCTGGAGGACAAGAAACTCCTTCAATTTGACAATAGTCACAGCATTCCCCCTACTGCAACTTGCCTTGCTCAATATGCTGCTCCCATTACCACATTCCTAATTTACATGAAATACTTGTCACAGGTCACTGTAGTGTATAAATGACAATGATTGATATGGAGATGCCATTTAGAAGGCACCATACCTGTGGTCATGGACACCAAATAATTATTTACCATCTGGACATCTATAGAATAGTAGTACTCCTCTTTAGTCCTCTGAAACTGACTCAGGGCCATGTGGTGCTCTGGGGCAGTTACATATGTCCTTTTCAGCAGCTTTCACCCTAGTTACATTTAGCTTCAAGCTGAAGGAGGTATAAGAGGTTGGAGATAACATAGCCTTATTTTTCCATTTCATCACCTCAATTCTCCAGTCCCATTTGAGGAACCAGATTTCAGAGTGCCAGTCTCTGAATCTGAAGTAACATAGGACAGCCTTACTGTTAAGGAGTCATGAGTGCTCAGGTCAAACAAAAGATCAGCTATCTTGCTGAAAGACACCCAGCACAATAGAATTGGCAACTGCAATGCCAGAACTGATGAGCATCAAGTGAGGCTCGCTGTCTTGTGACCATCTGTTCTTGAGGTAATACTTCAGACTAACTCAATGGATCTGTTTTCAAATGCTGTTCCCCTTATCTACATGTATGCCTATGCTTCCCATGTTGAAAACATCAGGAATTGGAGCTCAGTTTGTGTAAATGATGATTGGGTTGCATTGTTGCTGTAGGAAGCACACTCCAAGAAGGTAGCCCAGTAACAAACCAATTCCTTATGGAGTTGAAAGAACCTTTCTGTTATAAGGATCACTAAAATTCTTAAAACAATGCACAGATGTTAGTGGATTTAAACTAAACTTCCTGAGACCATAGCTTTCTAGTCAGATACTGTCCTGTCGGTTATAAAATTGTGCCAGTCTCAGATTCTAATCTCCTATATTGGAAAAACGTGGAACATTCAAACGAAGTGTAGACCCTGCAGGGTTTGGTGGTTGATGCTGAATTAGCCTGTTTTTCAGGACTGTAAGTTCACTTCTTGTATTCTAGGCATTGAGTGTCATAGAAGTCTTAGCCTAGACATGAAAGGGTGTGTAATTACCACCCAGTGTTCTGCTCTCTTGTCATCAGCTGGCATGAGTAAAGTTTCATTCTGTCTTTGGAGATAGCTTTTATGTAGTGGGCTGTGTGCAATGGTAAATAATGACTGGACCCTTGAGGGAAAAATGGGATGAGAACAGTGCACGTTTAAGGGCTTCTCTGACTGTTTGAATCAGTTACTGCTGAAATGAATTGAGCCTTTTTTGGAAAATAAAAGTTGATGGTAAAACACTTGCCCAAATTGACACATGTTGGTCAAACCCTCATTGGCCTGTAGTCTAGAGATGTCGGTGTGTAGATGACTACATGATTAACTGATAAGCTTAGGTTTATAGGTTAATCCTATCAACTACATGCATTTTCCCCCTTCCTTGCTGCCTCTATCAGAAGCAGCAAGGGCAAGAGAGGTGGGAGCTGGTGCCCTCTCCCCCCTCCCCATTCCCATGCAGCTTCCTCTAATAAAAAGGCAGCAGAGTGGAGGGTGAGGGGGCCAGGCAGAGCCAATACATGCAAGGAGCCAGCTTTTAAACTGGCTCTCCGCATGTGCTGGATCTGTGGACCCAATGACCCCTTTCTTGCTGCCTCCTACAGAAGCTGCAGTGGGTGGGGACAGGCAGGAGCTGCCTCCCCACCCGTACAGCCTGTATCTGTGAGCCGGGCTCGCCGTGGACAAAGGCTGCTCAGTGCAGAAATAGCTTCTGTCTCCTGGGAGCTTGGACCTCCTCGCAGGCAGGAGGCAGTCTGTGCGTGGAGCTGGTTTTTAAGCCGGCTCTCCTTGCGGACCAGCTCCTGCCTGCCATCCTGCATTGCTGCCTCTGATGGCTAAAATTTCGTGTGGTTACATGACTATTCAATTATATGTTGTCTAAGTGCAGCCCATACCAGTGCCCTTCTAGTGTTTCCTGATGCTAGGCCATGCATCCACTACTCCAGTTATGGCTTGCTGTGTAATAGCTGCCGTTGTAGCAGTAGCAACAGCAACAAACGGTCTCCTTGTGGTGTTGCCATGCCATCATGTGGCAGAAACCGATCTTGTGGAAATGGAGCAGAAAGCTTACTAAAATGGGATGGAAGCAAATAACTACAGTGGACTGTTGTCAAGTGTTAGTTGGAGAGGAAATATCCTAGAACAGTCTTGGCCAAAGGCCAATTTTTGGATCTCCCAAAAATGTGGGAAGCATTTCACATGATTTGTGATCATGGTGTGGCTGAGGGCATCTGCATTCTATAACAGAGTGCAAAACAGATATGTTATTCAATCAGTGTAGAAAGTTTTGCTAATGCAGCTAAGTTAGATAGAATCTGAAAAATAAGGTAAGCTATTCTTGTTTTCCCCTTCCTTCCACAGTTAACTTTTATTCCAACTGTTCCTTAATGATGCTTTAACATTGTATAGTTAACAAAGTAGAGTTGTGCGTCTTTGACGTACATGCTGTACAACTTCCATCACTTGCCATTTGAACTATGAAGGAATTGAAAGATGTTACCGAAAATAGCTTTTATTTATTGAACCAGCTGTTCTTGTTGCTCCCCAGAAACAAGGAAAACATGTACCACTCACTCACTCCCTCTTTAAGAAGGGCACTGAAGGTGAAACACCTTTTTATTGGTGTTAGAGGTTTCCATGCCTCTGTCACAAAAATACTCTTTGCTGTAAAACACCTCAGTGGAAACTGATTGGATGAAATGCATGGATCCTATGGAAACCTTTTTCCCTCTGTAGGTTTCTGAATGGTCGGATAAATGTGATGCAATATTTTCTTTGTAATGCAACTATTCTGATTGGTTCGCTTCACAGCTGAGGCGAGCCACCATTTCAAACCCCATAACGGGAGTCTTGGAGACGGCACATTACAGAATTAGCAAAAGGTAAGAGACTTCATACACCAAACATTCTGGGCCTGTAATGAGTGCTTGTTCTCTGCTCATTCAGGGAAAAGAGGTGGTCTAAAAAGATATTTGACTTTCTAAATCATCTCTTTAATATGTACAGCTATTGTAACAGGACGTTACTGCTGAGTTTCTCAGTCTTTTCCTCTAACTAGAAGTTCTGTTTTTGCCATTTGTAGCTAATATTCTTTCCTTCAAATAGTATTTGCACAGGTGCAAAAACTCAATGGTGGTCGTCTTACGCTCACTTTACACAACCACATATGGTATCAACACATTGTCATTGTTCTCATTGCTAAATTTGGAAGACTTTGAGAATCCCTTGCATTCAGAAGTGGATTCACCTTATTTTGCATAACAGTTGCATTGGCATGCAGTAACACTTGTTCACTAATCATAAAATGTAATTGTCCAAGATCATCTGTCTTCCTCCTCTCAAACTTTGAAGAAAGCAGTATTTTCTTCTTTACAGGCATCCCATGTTCCCTCTACTTTGCTAAAAAGCACTGCAGATTTGTGAATGTCTTCATTTTTTTGAAACTTCAAAAAATGATCTTTTAACACTTAAAAATGTATAATTAGGACCTGCCTACTGAGGTCCAGTCCTCTGTAAGCTATTTTGTTTTCCTCACAGAAATTTTGTTCTTCAGCCTTTAACAAAACTAAGAAAAGAACATTAAACTTCCAGATACAGAGGAATTTTCTTTGAAACTCAGCACTATAAACTATTTGCAGAAAGTCTCTAGGTTTAAAAAAAAAAAAAAAGTGAAAGGACATTCTCACCAAATTTGTTCATCTAATTCTTTTTGATTTGGAAATGGCAGCTATAGCTACTGTCTCCCTTCTAAATATTGCTGCTGATCTGAAAGCATTGCATACCATCCAGACCAATCGGAAACCCTTCCAATCACTTGTAGCTTGGCAAAAAATAAGCCTACTACTAGAGTAAGCCCTTGTCCTTTCTCTTTTTGTAGTTGAGCCGGGCTACTGTACATGACCCTCAGACTGGGAAACTGACCACAGCACATTACAGAGTCTCTAAGAGGTAAGGGGAATGTGTTCCAAAAGCATATGTAACAACTAGGAAATCTGTGGATAACCTGTTAAATCTTCAAGTTGCAAAGCTGAGAGAGGGAAAGATGATACATACATTTTCTTGTGCTCATTCCTATTTAGGAGAGATGAGAGCTTAAAAATTTGCAGCAATATGTGCCAGCTAATGGGCTGATTAAACAGTATGTTTAAAGCATTACTTTTAGTTCAAAGGAAAGCTGCTGCTGCTTTTGACTGCATGATCTTGAATAACACAACTAGCTAAAAAACTGTTAAAATAATGAGAGTTCCCACATAAACTAAAATTTAGAAAGGACTGCACTTGCTTTCTGCCATTATACCCATGTATATTACAGATTGAACCTCAGTAGTTTGGCACCTTTGGGAGATGACTGGTGCCAAGCCACAGGCAGGAGGTCAATATCATCTAGCAGTATTATCAACACTTCCACTGATTACTGGGCTCTTAGAAGACATTTAGGGGTAAATTGGAGCTGAATAATAGCACAGAATACTGAGACAATACTTGGTGGTTATAAACAAATGTTATGGGACCACGGGAAACTTGGCTGTATCCATGATAAGTGGTCTGCTAATTAAAAGCATGCTAGACCATAGATGTTGCCAGATCAGAGACTGCTGGACTGGAGAGGCTCACTCTGTAATACACTTGAAGGTTGCTATAATTAATAGCAACAACAGCATGAGTTAAACTTGGATTTTTTTTAACTGAATCTTTTGTTTGTTGGTTAACATGACATTAAATGATTATGCTTTTACTTTTGTAGTTGACTTTAATATAAAATCTATAATTCATTAGAAAATATTAGAATCCCTCCCTACTCAGTCATTAATTTTTAGAGCATTATGCCAGCGATGAACAGAACCCTTTAGAAAGTATGCATTCTTAAATAGCAGATTGCTGGAAATTCTGTTCCAAAAGGGTTGGTGGTAGACTTGTTGAGGAAATCTCCTTCTCTTAGGGCTTCCTCAGTTGATGTGGAATCAAGATAAATCCTTGCTACTGAAAACCAGAATGTGCATTATTTACGTAATAGATGGCTGCTTCCCCGCTTCAGACATTGCAAGAATTCTTTCCTAGTCGTTACACTGCTAAATTAGAGTATTCCTCTGAGGAGACTACTGTTCACTCAGCAGTACGTGGCAGACTGCATAAATGGAGGCATTGCCAAGCCTTACTGTATGCAGTTAAAGAAGATATTCAGCCATTCTGGCACAGCTTTCAAGGAGGCTACTGGTTTGAGGCAGCCAGTTACAAATCATAGCATATGAAAGTAGTGTTTCCTCTTCAGGAATATCAGCCTCTGCTTTTCTTACTCACTGTTTCTTTAAAGGAAGAATATTTAGACCATCTTTAGTATGTAAAAATGTTAGTAACGTGATATTGGTTTTGTCATGAGATATATAAAATGACTAGGTTATAATCAGACTTTTAAGAAGTTACTAGAGATTTTAGAAAGGGGAGTAAATGTAATTGCCATTATCTTTTCATTTATTTTATAATAGCCAAACATCCATTTCTAATTTTTTAAGTTTTCCAATTAAGAAAGTGTTAAACATGCACAAGGATTTTATACACTTCATAAAATACTTTATGAACAATACAGTGTACATATTTCTAATTCAGGTGTATGGATCATGCTCTGTTAATGGATTTCCAGGAAGAGCTTCTGAAGGAAAGAGGCTGAATGCTATATGCTGATAATGACAGTAATGATAGAGATGTCTAGTTATCCTTCAGGGAATCACCAGGAACTTTCATTCTTTGAAGTGGTACAAATAAAACTTCAAGTCCTATATTATTAGTTCCCTGTGATTACCTCTTAAAAGCAAAATGGAAAAATGCTTGCAGCTTTGCCAGTAAAAGGAATTTCAAAAGAGAACTATTTTCTGCCAGGGAGAAAAGCACCTCTGAATATGGATGAACAAGTTTTTTCAGATGTAAAGTTACCTGTCTGTAACATTCACTTGAAGCATGTTACTTCAAATGAGTTATTTTTTCCTTCAAGTTCTACTGACCAAAACAAATTTCACTCAAGGGCAGAGCCTTGCATGTATTTCACGTGAACTGAGCTGATTCTTAAACTCCACACTTTAATAGTTCATCTAGTTGAGCACAATTCTTTCACTGTTAACTGATCCTGTCATACAGATCATATCCCTGAAGGGCAGATTGACAAATCCTGCTGTTAGAGGAAATTCTTCGCATGCATGATAAAAGCTCAGGGAGCTTGTGAAGGCCGTGGTTCTCAAACTGTGGGTTGGAACTCCAAGGTATGTCATGACCCCCATTTTAATGGGGCCAGCATAGACGTGCTGGGAGCTGAGGCTAAAGCCCAAGCTCTACTCTACTCCACCCCCTTGGTCTTGGAGTAAATTTGTTAATCAGAAGGTCATGGTCAGTAGACTGCTGTACTTGAGGCTTAGGCTATGTCTACACTGTGCTGGTTTTGTGCAAGAAATATGCAAATGAGGCTGTGGAATATTGCTGAGCCTCATTTGCATAATTAATGAGCGGCCGCTTTTTGCGCAAGAGCTGTTCTTCCATATTTTTTTTCAGAAAGAACAGCTCTTACGCAAGAGGTGGTTTTTGCGCAAGAAGGAACCATGTAGATGGCTCCTTTTTGGGCAAAAGCCTCTTGCGCAAAAAGTGGTGGTTCATTAATTATGCAAATGAGGCTCGGTGATATTCCATGCCTAGCCTCATTTGCATATTTCTTGCGCAAAACCAGTGCAGTATAGACGTAGCCTTAAAGAACTAACAGGTTAGTTGCTGCTGAAGAATTAATCCAGAGCTAGGAATATGCAAATCCTGAGCTTCCTTAGCTCTCAACAGCATAGTGATGTTTATGGCCAAAATCTCTTGGTTCTAAGTTTGAAACCTCCATAATTCAAAGGCAACAAAGTCGTATGGGTCTGACCTTTTTGAGGAAGCAGGAGAATACTTAAAAATCTGCTGGAGAATATTTGATTTGTCAACTATTTGCTAAATACTGAATATTCTACAAGCTGTTTTGGTAAGAATATCCAAACAAGAAAAGAGATTAAAATGCTGTTATATATATTCCGATTTTTGTTTCCGAAATGTCCTTTGCTCTGGCTACCAATGGAGGAGCACTTCCTTTTCTATACTCCAGAAGCCCTTCTTAAAAATACATGTTTATATTGAGAGACCACAAAAAACTATTCTTGTTTTTATGTAAGGGAGGACATCTCTAGTAAAGCCATTATAGTATTGCTCACTGCATAAACATCTGTACTGTGTGTTTGTGTTTTTTGATTCATTCAGGATTGACCTTGGTTGTAATAGACTAGGTGCAATTTATACTACAGGTTGAACCTCTGTAATCTGGGACTCCCTGTTTCGGCATCATCAGTCGTCCAGCAGGACCACTGGTGGTCCAAGACCAGTGTCCCGATGGGAGGGCTGACAGCTGTGCTCCCCACTACAGGGCTGACCAGCATACCTCAACTGGGTAGCCAGGCACAACCCAGCAGAGTCGCCTCACCAGGCCATGAACCTGGTGCACAGGGAGTTGGGCTAGCCAACATAGCAGGGAAGGAGGTGGGAGACCAGCAGGGCAGCAAGGCTGGAGGCAAGGCAGAGCTGAGCATGAGGCTGGTGGCTGGTCCAGAGCGGAGGGGAGCCAGATATGGCTTCCTCTGGTCTGGCAAAATTCCTCATCCAGGACCAGTCAGGTGTCGAGGGTGCTAAACCTGTATTATGCTTGCAATATGGAGATGGTCCTTTTACTGCAGTTCTCTAGTGCCTTTTCTTCTCTCTTCACAGGAACACATGAATACATGGGAAATTAAAGTAGCTATCCAAACAGAGCTTTGATTGAGATTGGTTGACAACCCAGTCTTTTATACCCCACCCCCTTCTCTCTCTTTTTAAAGCTCTCATTCTCTAGAATTTCCCATTCTATTTTTAAAATTTTATGTCTAGTTCTAATTATTGCACAGAAAACATTGGAAAATATGAAAACAAATAGTTTTTGTCAAATAGTGTTGGAAACTAACTTACTCCAGTTTAAATATGGTTCCTTTAATAATTTCTGGGCCTACTATAGAAACAAAGGGGCCTTATTCAAGATGCTGATATTACCAGTGTTATAACTGTCCTCTCACTTAAAAGAAGCTTTACAAATGTGGGACTTGGCAGTGCTTTCTGTTACATTATTAGCCTAATTGTCTACAGATAGCTCTAAGTCTTTATGCACATTTTAGAAATTATAAGACTGAACGTTCCACTTGCTTGTGGTATTTTACTAGCAGATCTTTTCCTTGTTTTAAAATTTAGTGCCTGGTTGTCTGGATATGAAAGCCCTGTGGTATCTCGTATTAACATGAGGATACAAGACCTAACAGGACTGGATGTTTCCACAGCAGAGGAACTACAGGTGTGTAAATGACGATTTCAGTAACTATCATACCCAACTTGGTTTAAATGAAATGGACTTTTCAATGCACTGTACAGTAGACAGCCCCATAATCTTCAGACAGCTGCTTTGGGGTATACATGTAGAGGCTAATTCTTTGGTGTGAACTCAGCTGCTTCAAATGTTACCAAAAGGCAGGCCTAATCAATGTGGGAAGGACATCAGTGCCTTGATAATTAAGTTGAGTAATTGAATCAAATTTACCTTTTGGTGTAATGGGTAACCTGTTTGCAGTGGAGACCTGCTTAGTCCATAGCTAAGTTAGATTTGTAGATCCTGGAGGTGAGTAAAGAACAGTTGAAAATTCTGCTCTTTAAAAATGAGTGACTTTTTGGTTAGAAAAATTTTATTGCCACCAATAAAAGCAGGTTTTCTGAGGGTAGTTCAAATTTTCATAGATTGCTGTCTAGAGCAGTGGTTCTCAAAATGTGTTCCGCAGACCTAGTGGTCTGGGGCTGCCTCCCAGGTGATCCACGGCAAGAGCTCATCCCCCATTCTCTTCCCCCCTCGCATCAGTGAGCCTGTGCTGCTGGAGCCTCATGGCTGGCATGCAGCCATGGGACTGCAATACCAGCTCAGGTGGGGAGGTGAAGTAAGCAAACTCACATCCCTGTCCCCTGCATGGACCAAGAAGCTACATGTGGAGGAGCACCAGCCCGCCCCCCCCATGGAGAAGTCCGGCATGCTGCTGGGTATCTGCCTCACCTGGGCTCTGCCAAACTCGCAGTTGCCATGGTAATAGCAGTGCATCCCTCAGTTGCTCCTGCGGGGCAGGTTGGGCTGGGCTGGGCAGGGCAAGGCCAGGTGGGATGGACTCTTGTGGTGCACGAGTGGTCAGTGCCCTCCTCCTACACCCTCCCTCCTGGCCAGACACCCTACCCCTAGTCTGCTCCTGCACTTTCCCTCCTGGCCAGACTTTGTACCCTCCCCCCAGCCAGACATCTATCCCCAGTCCACTCCTTCACCCTCCCTCCTGGCCTGACATCCTACCTTCACCTTGCTCCTGCATCCACCATTGCTCCTTGTACCCGCCCTCCTGGCCACACACTGCACCCTCCCTTGTTCCTGCTCCCTCCCCGAGGCTAGACACCCTACTCGCAACCCCTCTCCCTTCTGCACCCCATCTCCCTCCCACTCACTGGCAGCCCTGTCCTGCTCACTGACCCCCTCCTTTTTGTCCCCAACCCAGAGTCTAATGGGGTCCATAAAATCGACTAACTCTAGAACCCCAGAAAAGTAAATCTGGCCTATGGGAAGCCTTGAACCTCAGTCCTCCCTGTCCCTTCCCCTTGCCTGTGGGGCTGAAGTGACGTGTCTCAGTTGGGGGCCACATCAGTGAGGGTTGAGGGGTTTTGGAGGTTTTGGGGTTTTTTTGCTTCTCTTACATTGTCTCCCAACTTTTCTGTGTCAATGGCCCCCAACACAAAAAGGATTCCCCGCTCCTGCCACAAATAATGAAAACATTGAAACCTTTTGTGTTGACCATAAATTAATTTTACTTCATTTAAAATGAAGTTTGTTTTAACTGTCTCATGTTAGTTTTGAAATTAAACTATATCTGCAGCACTAGCAAAATGGCTTTGACATAATTATATAATAGTGCGTTTTCATTAGCAGCTGGTGGTCTGCAGAAAGGTTTAGGTGCTTGGACCAAAAAGTTTGAGAACCACAGCTCAAAACTCAAGTCGATTGCTTCTTGTCCTAAGTTGCAGCAAGGGCAGTTTTGAGTTCGACATTAGGAAAAACTTTGCAATTGACAGTGATTAAGCATTGTCATAAATTGCATAGGGAAGTTGTGCAATCTGTCATTTGAGATAAAGAGCAGGCTAGATGAACACCTGTCAGACATGGTCTAGATCTGGATGGACAAGATGCAGCCAGCAGGCCAGATTCATCCCAAGGCCTCCTCGCTGGGACCCTTACCACTGAGCAGCTCAACTGCTTTAAAAGACTGGTTGCTGTCTGCTCTGGACACCAGGGAGGGAGGCAAGGCTTTGCATGCCCCTGCTCCCAGCAAAATCTTGCTGCTCCCATTGGCCAGTTTACGACCAACGGGAACTGAGAAGTTTTTGCTGGGGGCAGAGTCAATGTTCAAAGCCTCCTTTCTCTATCCACTCCAACTCCCTCCCTCAGCAGAACCACATGGAGCAGCCAGCTGTTTTGATTGTAGCAGTAAGTGCCTGTGGCACCCTCCTCCCCCCCTCTAACTTCTTGCCCCAGGCCACCATCCCTGTCCTGCTCCACATCACCACCCAAACCCTCTGTAATCCTTCTCCCCACTTCCTTCAGGTCACAACTCTCTTCCAGACCCTGCATCCCATCCTACACCCTCCCTCGGGCCATAATCTTCTCCTTTATCTCATTCCCTTGCCCTAGGTTCCCACCCAAAACCCTGTGCACCCCTTTTGTCTCCTTCCAGGTGACAACTCCCAGAACCTGCACCCCTTCTTAAACTCCGCCTCTCTGCATCCATGTCCCAGATTAACCCCCTCCTTCCCCGAAATATCATCTCCAACCCCACACCATCTCCAGCACCACAGTCCCCTACCCCTAGCTCCCTTCTGCACCCAGCCTCTGGCATAGACACCACACACCCTCCATAGATGTGCAGCCCTTGATCATTTACTAAAATCTTGGCATCACCCCTGTTAAATTATTGCTCACCCCTGGTCTGAATAATACTTAGCCTTTTCTTAAGTGCAGGGGACTGGACTAGATTACCTCTTAAGGTGCCTTCCAGCCCTGTACTTCTATGAATAAGAGGTAGAAGGTTTGACTAATGGTGGTGAAAACAGGCATGCCACACTAAACAAAGGTCACATGAGGGTAAGACATCCAGCTCAGAACAGAGGATGCTTTGGAGTGGTGGTTGTAGGAGAATTTGTTTAGAGAAATGTAAGAATGCTAGTATCAAAAAAGGTAACTGCATCTTTAATATTCTGCAATGAAGAAATATTAAAAGGAGTGATGGCTCCAGCTGTTGGTCAGCAAAAGTAACAGCAATGGAATGAAATATTAGAGCGCTCACCGCCAAAAAAAATTGTGCTACAGGAATTATGAAATCTTAACTCCCAAAGTCTTGGATTCACTTCTGCTGCTGAGCTAATCTAGCACTTTATGAAGAAATAATTGCCTGATTTTTTTTTTCCAAAAGATGCAAGTATCTTAACTCACAGGAGTCTTCTCAGTGGATGTTGTTTCTTTCTTTCTATCCATCCATCTCTCCCGCCTTCCTTGTGTATACATACCATGAATATGGGAGTGTGGTGTGAGAAGAGTGCAGGAAAAATAATTCGTAACAGAAATGAAGACGTTGGCTGGCTTCTAGGACAGCACTTCTTGAATGTGGCTGCATGAGGTCCACAGGGCTTTTTCCTGTGACTCTTCTCTTTCATCCCTTCCTTATCCCTTCCATTGGCCCTCTACTTCAAGTTAGGGATGTTAAAGACTAGTCAACTATCCGATAAGCAATGCTTATCAGATAGTCGACTAGTTGATTTCTCCCCCCCCCCCCTTGCTGCTTCTAATAGAGGGGGAGAGTGGGGTTACTTCAAAGTGGCAGTGCTGCACACCTAAGCCAGGGATCAGCTGTGCGGCACTGCCCCTTTGAACGCCGCCTCAGCTTTTAACGATAGGAGGGACTCTTGTACATTTCAAAGGAAGACTGCAAAGTGCCTATCAACTAGTCGAAGAGTCGATGGAAATCCCATCGACTACTGAACTAGTCAGTTAACAGTTACTTAACATCCTTACTTCAAGTGTATGTGGGCTCTGGCTCCTGACCACAGGCTTATCTTTAATCACTTACCTCCCCTGGCAGTGGGATTGTGGTTCAGGGGCTGGTATCCAGTTTGGGCCCTGGGATCCAACCCTGGCCATGCAGTTGCAGGTATTGGCCCAGGATTCACTCACACCCTCTCATCCATTTGCTCTAGCAGTTCCTGCGTCCTTACCCACCTCCCATTCAGGGCTTAATTTGTCCCTAGGCTTGCTGGGGCTGAGTAAATCTGCTGTGAAAGATGTCTGTTACTGTCACTTGTCACAGCAGACTATGTAACTAGGTAGAGGGCTGTGAAAAATATTAACATACAAGTATAGCTTTTCACAGCAGCAGTCTTACAGGGTGGGGTACACCACAAACCTGGAAAAAGGCAAGATTATTCAAAGCACCTTTTTGTGTTTCTATTCTGGTTAGGTTCAGGACCTAATTTTTATTATTGAGTCTTAAAAAAAAAAAAAATCCCTACATAAATACATTGCAATGATTTGGACATGTATGTGTGCTCCCTACATAAATATATTGCAATGATTTGGACATGTATGTGTGCTTTTTTAGTTTAAAGTTATTTACCTGTTTTAGGAAAAATTGCTGGAGGCCACCAAAAATCTTGCGAGCACTCCAAATTCTAGAACTGGGGTTCTATTAAGAAATAATCGGTAGATAGTGGTAGAAATGTTCCCAAGAATCAAAGCTCGGAGCTAAACTCCTGGTTATATTCTCATGAGTAATCTGATTTGAAATGAGTAGAACTCCTCACAAGAATACATTTAATAGTATTTAACTCTGTATTGTTTGATGGTATGCTCTATAGGGGAGGGACTTATTTTATAATAAACTTGCATCTTCAAAAAATTGCAAAATGTATAGACTGGAGTCAAATACTCATTTTCGCTCCTCCAGGTAATATACAGCTTTATTAGATATTTGTACTTTTCCTTTCACTGTAGGTAGCCAACTACGGCGTAGGAGGCCAGTACGAGCCTCATTTTGATTTTGGAAGGGTAAGTTCCTCTACTTTCACGCCTTCACATCTTTGTACTTCACATGCATTGTGTTTCTCTCTTTCAGGTGGCAAATTATGGAGTGGGAGGACAATATGAACCCCACTTTGACTTTGCACGGGCAAGTAAAGAGGTGGAAGGGTGAAAGTGACCAACTGAAGCCTAAGCTTGTTGACTGCACAATATATTTTCTTTGTTAAATTTCATGGCCGATCAATTCTTCTAATCCATATTAATGGACAAAGCCCTCTAAACCACCATCTGAACAGGCATTATAAAGCAGTATGATCTCCTTTCACAGTGTAAAAATCTCTTGAGAGAGGGAACTAATTCTTTATCAGACTGAAGGTATTAATTTTAGAAATGGGAGATGGAAAGGTGTGACTGGCTTAGGGAACTGTAATAATGAAAAGATTTCATCTTTTGTTGTTGGTACAAGACCAACCAAAGTCTGCAGATATTCAAAGTCACTATCTGTTTTGGTGGTGTCTGTAGTGGCCTGAATCAGAGTTCCCGTTCTCCCAGATAACCACAGTTGGCACCCTCATAGGTAGGATCCTACCAAAATTCATGGCTATGAAAAACACATGGACCATAAAATCTGGTCCTTTGTGTGCTTATATCCTGTGTTATACAGATTTCATAGGGGAATACCAGCATTCCTCAAATTGTGAGGGTTTGTCCCAAAAGGGAGATGCAGGGGAAGTGGGTGTTTGCAAGATTACTTTATGGGAGTTGTTGTATTGTCACTTTTCTGCTATCATTAGAGTTGGGCACCATAGAGTGGCAGCTGTTGGCCAAGTGCCCAACTCTGAAGGCATACTATGCCATACTTACGTTCTGCAGTGCTGCTGGTGGCAGTTCTGGCATCGAAGAATACACTGCTGTCCAGCAACTCAGGTCTGAAGACAGTGCTGAAGATAAGGGTAGCAGCCACCAGAAGCCTTTCCCTCAAATAACTTTGCAGCCAACCCACAACTCTTTTGGGTCAGAATCACTACAAATACAACACCCTGAAATTTCAGATATAAATAGCTAAACGCATGAAAAATTACGTTTTTAAAAAATCCTATGACCTTGAAATTGACCAAGATGGAGCATGAATATGATGGGACTCACCCATAGATGCTCTTCAGGGAAATGGAATGGGTCCAGAGCCTTAATTCATTCTCTTTCTTTTAAAAAAAAAAAAAAAAAAAAAAAAAGTCCAAGCAGATTAGGATTGATATATGGACAGTGTGGTGAAGTGTGCATTGCCGCGGTTGATGCTATACCTTCAACGTGGAGAGAAGATTTCATTTCTCAGAGCTAAGAGTTCAGTACCTTTGACCAGCACTACATTTCATGAGTGCTGCTCAGTCCTCTACTTTTTCTGCTTTTTATTAAATTTGAGTAAAAATGAATTTCCCAAAGTAAAATTGAGATGGCAAAAAGAGTAGAGAGAACGTAACAGCCCAAACTCTGCTTTCGCTTGTTTATTTGATAACTTATTAGCATTTCCTCATCTCTCCCTACCCCAACTGAATTTCACATGACTGGAAATAATGCCATTTCAAGGTGGTGGTTTAATGGGCATTTTTGTGTGTGATTAACACATTTAGATTAACATTGTCCTGTGAACCCAAACCAGCAAATATGAAAAGTCATTTAAGGGCATTGAGAATCATTAACAGTTTGATTTCAAATGCATGAATTAATATTCTAAAGAATGAACTTCAGTGCACAAATACGATTTTATTGGTGGGGAAGGAGGACTTTGGCGACTTCGCATAGATGTCTGTGCAACAGCATTTAGTCTTAACCAGTAGGAAGTAGCTTCCTGGTTCACCGATGTGGATGATTTCTCATGATTATTTCTCATGATTAAAGGGATACAAAGACTAGTTTTTATAACTCGGTCCATTTACGGCAGCTCTTTGGTATAGCAGTGCAATCATGGTGTATGCAATGTGGGAATCAGATTTTTTTTTTAAGTTTTCTAGCTAACTCAGCAATAAATAAGTAGTGTGATCATGGATTCTTGTCTGGCTGAACTTCAGCAATTGATAAACTTAAACAATAATTAGTCTAGTAGCACTTTAAGGACTGACAAAACATGTAGATGGTATCATGATCTTTAAAGTGGTCTGTGCCCACTATTTGTTGTTTTTAAAGTCTATCCTGTACAGACTAACTTGGCTACCCCCTGAAGCTTTTAAACAGTTCAGTTGGAATCTGTTCAAATGGGGGTAATCTTAAGGCCCCGCTGCAAGCCTAGCTCTTGCTGAGTCTAGTCTTGCTACTCTGTAATAAAAGAACAGTGGCTCCAAAGGGAGTCCTCTCCAAGACTCCTTGCATAGGGGGAGTATTGCTGTTCCATGGGTGTTTGAGAGTGCACACCTTTCCTCTATGCACACATAGGCTTAGATATTCATATAATACATCTCTGAATTAGGGATGTTAGTGTGTAGTCATTTACATGATTAACCGATAAGCTTGTATCAGAGGAGTGTGGGGGTTGGGAGCTGGTGGAGCTGCCTTACTGGCAGCAGTGTGGGGGGAATGGTGGGAGCAGGTCCTTGGAGTGAGCCATCTTAAGCCAGCTCCCATGGAACTGCCTCCCCCCTGCTGTACTGCTTTTGCTCTCCACCCCTGTGTCAATGTGTAACCACTAAAAATCAAGCAGTTACACATTTGCATAAATACAAGTTATTTAACATTGCTACTAAAAATACATATTTTATGCTTTAAAGTGTGGTCATATTTTATCAGCAGCTTCAATTGGAGCCAGACATCTTGCTTCTGAGAAGTTGTAGTTGCAATGCTGAGAATTGGATAATTCAGGAGCTACGCTGTATAAAATGTAGAAGTCTAGAAAGCCAAATAGCATTGGCAGTAGTATCAAGGAGAAAGGGTAAAGACAATAACTAGTAGGTGCTGTCCCTACTAGGGATGCTAGATAGCAATTAACTGAATAGTCATGTAACCACACACAATATTATTGGTTACATGACTATTCGATAGTCCCCAGGAAGGCTAAAACAGAGCTGTTTGACGGAAGCTGCACTGACATCCCATGGAACAACCCTTCTCAGTAGGAGGTCCAAGCTCCCTGCAGACAGAAGCTATGCTGGCATCCCACAGAGCAGTGCAGAGACTGCTCTGTGGCAGCTTTCGCTTCCCTTCCCCTGCTCCCCCACTCCCCCAGCTGCTTCTGAGAGGGGGGGATGTCGGGTCACTCCAGATCTGGTGTTCTTGTTCACTCTTGCTGCCTCTGATACAAAGGAAATGCATGTAATCCAGGGATGACCAACCTGCGGCTTTTCTGAAGATAATATGCAGCTCCTTGCTCAGGTACTCACTTGGTGGCTGCAGCTACAGGTGCCAACTTTCCAGTGCTCAACTTCTGGCTCCATCACCACCTCCTCCAAGTGTATTGTACCCTCGCTCCTTCCCTTCCCCACAGAGCTTCCTGAGTGCCATGAAAAAGCTGATTGCAGTGGGCAGGAGGCTCAGGGAAGGAAGAGGGACCACCGATTGGTGGGGCTGCTGGTGGGCAAAAGATACAGGAGAGAAGGCACCTGCTGGGGACTGCTGACAAACTATTGTAGCTCTTTGGCAATGTACATGGGTAAACCGTGGCTCCGTCTCTGGTTCAGGTTGGCCTCACCTGATGTAATCGATAATTAACTGCTAAGCCTAGGCTAATTGGTTAACCATGTACTTGACTGCAAGTTGACATCCCTAGTCCCACCGAAGGGTAATTTGTGCACTAGTGCAAAGAATGATGGGGGGGAAAAAAATCACAAATATAAAAAAGTCAAAATTAAAGGTAAGGCTGCAGCATGTACTAAAGTCAGCCAATAGGCTCTATGCCCAAGAACAGCCCTGGGCAAAATATGGTCCGTGGATGCAGCGGAGAGCCCCAGGCAGGCTCCTTTGCTTGCCTTGCAGCCCTGCACACTGCTCAGAAAAGCGGCTGTGGGGCCAGTTTTCTTTCAAAACTGTGATCCAGGAGAGTGTGGGGGAGGGCTTCAGGCCCTATCACCATCCCAGCACAATCCCATTGGTTGGTTTCCAGCCAGAAACTAGCCATTGGGGAGCTGCCTGTTTGAGTAACAGGCAGCACATGAAGCACCATGCCTTCCTCCCCTCTGGCTCAGTTATTCAAACAAGCATATGTCTGTGCAGCTGCCAGGCAGGCAGGCATGCTGTCTGAGAAACATTTTAAGTTCTGCAAGCATTTAGCTCTGTAGGCGGATTGGGCTGCTGGCTGGTAAGTCTCCTGGCCCAATCCTGCCTCTGATACCCCATCTCCGCCCTTCACCAGCCCTCTGCTCCCAGACCTGGCACCCAAATCCCCAGTCCCAGATAACAATCCCTTCCTACCCCATGTCACAACACAAACTCCTGAACCCCAGTTCCCTGCCCTAGATGTCAACTGCCTTCTTCATCCAAATTCCCAGATCCCATTCTCCCTTCTGCACCCAACCTCCGCCCCAGATTCCACACCTCCTTCACTGATATTATGGAGGAATGTGGCCCTCGACCACTTTGCAAAATCTTGGAGTAGCCCCCAATCAAAAATTATTGCCCACTCCTATCTAAGAAATTCTAGCCCTCCGCTTGCTTCTCACCGAACTGAGGCAATGACGTGTAGATTTGTCTGGTCTAATTGTAACTGACAGGCACATGAATTTTCATAAATATTTAATCCCTAGATTATAAAGGGATTTTGTTACCACAAACGGGCATTTTTTGATGTCATGGGGGCTGCAACTTTTTTTCAGTAGCAATTGCAAAGGGAAAATTATAACAGAAATGAACCAGTACATACATTTTCCTCACCCTCTGTCCTGATGAATTTTTGGGGTGGTTTTTTTGTTTTTGTTTTTTCCTGCATGAGTTTGTTTGCTGGCACATCAGCTATTTATCCGCTGGTGTATAAATTACATGATCAAAATAATGAGCATTTTATTTAATAAGTGTTTTGCTTTCTTTTACAGAAAGATGAGCCAGATGCTTTTAAAGAATTGGGAACAGGCAACAGAATTGCTACTTGGTTGTTCTATGTAAGTGAGACCTTTTTAAGCATGTCTTACAAACCATTCCTGCAAAAATGTTAGGTTTTTTTCCTGCATATTTGGCCATGCACTTCAGTGATTTCATTAAACACCTGATTCACGTAAAGTCCTCTAATGGCTCAGTGGCAAATAAGGATACCTTCTGAAATTAGGCCAACTTAAATGTGTAGTCTCAAAGTTCTTCAGGTGCTTGAGATCCCTTTTTAAATCAAAGGTAGCTAGCAGGTATGAAGTATCTTGAGGATACCTATGGTTGTGAGCAGTGTGCCTTCTGAGACTTTTCCATCCTTGGGCAGGTTGAAATTTATTATGTGCAACACCAGTATTGAGGAAGCATGTAGATGTGCACCCACCAGTACAAATGAAAACTCTAGATACAAATACGTATTTTAAGTAGTCCATAGGTGTGGAAGAAAATACATTCAAACAAGGGATAATTTAAAAGGAGCAGTACTTATGATTATTTAATATGAAATCAAATAAAAAGAAAATTAACACTACCCATGGCTGAGGAAATGGATTGTGCGCACACAAGCTCATGATACTATTTATATTTTTGTTAACCTGAGGTGCCACAGTACCATAGTCTGTAACAAAAAACAACAAACACTACTATTCCTGAGACTTTAGAAAGGACAGACAGATACATGTTTCGAAGATCCTACAAATAAGGTTTCATCCTACAAAACAGCTACCATCACACCTAGTACTTGCTGCTTCTGACTCTCAAGAGCCAGAACTCTACCAAATAGCAAAGGTTTGGCTTTAATGCAATTCTGTTTACGATGTATTAATTAGTAACACAATTTAAAAAAATCATTAAGATCAGTGTTTTAAATATCTGCAACACTCAAATTCTGCTAATGGTTTAAGGCAAAGAAAAAGATTCTTTTAACATGGGGGGTGGGGAGGAGGAGACACTCCAAGAATTTGGTAAGTGGTTGACAGGAACTGCATTAGTGGCATCAAATTAGCACCACAGGATCTGTATGATAAATAGCTCAGATCTGTGCACCACCAGCTGACTGAGTACATGAAGGAAGATCTCAAACTAGAGGATCCATTGGTACTGATGGTCCCAAAAGCCAAATCATCCTCCTCACTCCATGCGGTAGTCACTCCATTCTTGCCAGATCAACTGATGGCCACAGAGTTTTTGCAGAAGGTGGTGATTGAAGCTCCAGCTCTGTCAATGAGGTCTGTAACATCATATAAACTCCTTGACATCTTACAACCCTCAGGGTCTTCTCCATGTGGACCTGCCAATTAGCAAGGCCATTTTGGGACCTGCTGCAGAACTTCTCTTTACCTAAAAAGCCTAAGATGGCAACACCCCAGGGCAGCTCTAACAAATGAAGCCTCCAAATGCCTTGGCCTTCTGGAAAGAATTTTCAACCAACCAGCCTCCAATCAGAATTTACTAACTGGCAGGTCCTGCTTCCACAGGAGGATAGGACTCCATTCCAAGATCTCCTAGATGAAAGCAAACTGGTACCTAAGACCTCATTCCAAGTTGCACTGGGTGTGGATGATCCCATGTTCTGAGCTGTTGCTGAAGTCAGAGTTATGATATGAATAGTTCCTTCATTTTTCAGGATTACCCCAGGCATGTCCAGAATATCCTAGAGAATTTCCCCTTTCAATGCAACTCTTCAGCAAGAAAGTTGATGAGCCATTGCACTTGTGTAAGGATGTTAGGACAATTCTTCTCTCCCTGGGCATTTATACCCCAACTCTGATGGGAAACCAACACTAACAGGATTATAAACCCAGATGAGCCTTTCAGCCATTTTACCACCCACATCCTTATAAACCATCATGCTGTGCTAGATCAGACAAAGATGGGGATATATTGGTTCCTCATGATCTGTCGCTGCTCTTTCCCACTCCACAACCCAGAGGTTTCTTTTATGGGGCACTCCGTTCCTGCAAACAGCTCACTTTTGGTGGTTGCCTTGCCTGGCCCACAACTTCATGATTCCCCTGATGTCATGAGAATGAAGTCTCCTCTCATCAGATGGGCTTTGGTATGCTATCTGCAAAGAACAGAACCTATTCGGAAGTCACTAAGGTTATTTGTTCTAATAATGCTTTTCCTTGCAATAATTCTATCTGCTCAGATGCCTCTCTCAGCTGGCACATATTCCTCCTCCAGCTGGGTGAAAGCCCATTCCACTACATCACAAGCAATCTCATCAGCTTCTCTTAGAGATGTACCTCTACACATTTGTAGAGCATCTATCCGGAGCACCATTCATATCTTTGCAAAACATTGTCTTAGTCTAGGCCGCTGCTGCAAATGCAGCTGTTGGGACAACAGTTTTACAGGCATCTATTTCAACTACATCTTCATATCCTCCCTCTGTTTTGATTACAGCTCATCAGTTATCTGCATGTGGAAGGGCCAGTATTCAAAGAAAAATGGGACATTCCTTATCTGTAACTGGAGCCTGTTCGAGGTGTGGAATTCCTATTTGTAGTCTACTGCTTGCCCTCCTGCCAATCTTGAGTCACAAGTCACAGGAAGAGAAAATGGAAATGTGATTCATTTGCACTGCCCTCTATAGCCTCAGTTTGGGCCAGAAGGAAACTAAGAGTATGGGGACAGAACATTACTTGCTAAGAAATTTCAAGTCTAGGTGAAAAGAGCACATGCATATCCATGTATGGAATACACATAGGGACCACATGTCAAAGAACTTCTAGCTACAGAGAAGTGAACGCAGTTTTTCTAGCTGCCTAGGTATTTTTACCTGATTTATCATCAAGGCATTTGATGAGAGCCTTACAGATTCTGCAACAAGAATGTCGACAGCTTCAGTTTAGTATTTTTGCCTTGTTTAATGCTACAAGGCCATATTAATGTGATTTACAGCTAGTCACAGAAATTGTGACCCTTATGTATAGTCAAAGGAAGTTTTTCATACATCAATACAAATAGAGGGTGGGTTTTTTTGAAAGCCCTAGGTTAAGGCTGCTTTCTTTCCTTTTCAGATGAGTGATGTATCAGCAGGGGGAGCTACTGTATTTCCTGAAGTAGGAGCTAGTGTTTGGCCTAAAAAGGTAAGATGAGTTTTAATGCATGTTAGATTCTCCTCTTCCATTTTCCCTCCATTAAATCCAGCTATGAGGAACTGTATATTTAGATATTTAAAATGAAAATTTCAAAATGAATTGATTTGAAGAGTACTGGAACATCAATCCTGCAAACACTTAAGCTATACCACTTATTTCAATGGAGCTATCTATGCAAGTAAAGTTACATGAATTTGAAGTCTCAAATCTAGCTGTGCTTGTGTAGTGTTTCAGTTTGTGCTGTTTTGCAAAATTGACTCCACATGTAGTCTGAAAGCAGGAGGTCCAAAACATAACTAACTGTGATTGGGTCACTCTGGTTTGGAGGGGAAAGAGACTGGTCAAGCAGTGCACGGAGTATAACTTCTTTTTTGAAAACAATCGAACACTAGATTGATTTTTGGCATGGTAAGTATAGACGTGGTCTCAGCCTTAACAGTATTTCTTGGTTTTCTGAAGCTTTGCTGAACTTGGATGTTTTGGAAAGATCCCACACTTAAGTAAACGGTCATGGGATAAGAGAATGTTTCTGATCTTTTAAGCAGTTATCAATCTGAGAGGACAAAGGGTAATAATAAATAGTTGGTCAGTTTTCCAAATGGAGAGTGGTAACTAGTGTCTTGCAGGGTCATACTGGCACTAGGGATGCAAACGAGTAGTCAAGTATACGGTTAACTGATAAGCCTAGTCTTATTGGTTAATCTTGAATACTTGCCTTCATCTCCCCCCATATCAGAAACAGCAAAGGGGGGGAGGGGTGCAGGAGTCCGCTTAAAAGCCAGCTTCTCTTCCCTCCCCCACCCCCCTCATCCCTGGCTGCTCGGCATCTGCTCTGTGGTGCTGTCTATCAGGGGCAGCAGGAAGCTGGTCTCCATGGGGAGGTAGTTTTTAAACTGGCTCCCCTTATGGACCAGATCCTGCCTGGTACCCCATGCTGAGGCTTCTTGATACAGAGGCATGGCAAGGGGCTCCCCAGGAGTGGGGCAAGAGCATACTGGCTGCTGGCTCTGCCCGCAGGGACTATAGAATAGTCAAGTAATCACTAAAAATTCATTGGGTTATTCGACTACTCTATTACCTCCCCCTATCTAACATCCTTAGCTGGGACCAATTCTATTCAACATATTCATAAATGATCTTGAGAATGAGGTGGCAAAATTTGCTCATGAAGGTCACTGAAGTCCAAAGCTCATGAACTTCAAAAGAATCTTTTAAAATTTGGTGACTGGGCAACAAAATGGCAGGTTAATGTTAATGTTAGTGCAAAGTAATACATATTGGAAAACTATAATCCTGACTACACGTTCAAAATGATGGGGACTAAATTAGCTATTACCACTTGAGATCTTAGTCATTGTGGATAGGTCTCTGAAAACATCCACTCAATATGCAGCAGCAGCAAAATAAACAATGTTAGGAATCATTTAAAAAAAGGATACTGAATAAGTCCGAGAATATCTCTTTGCTTCCATATAAATCTATGGTATGCCCTCATCTTGAATAAAGCATGCAAATGTGGTCATTTCATCTAAAAAATATCTTCTTATTGGAAAAGGTTCAGAAAAGGGCAACAAAAATGAGGGGTTTGGAACAGCTGCCATATAAAGAGAGATTGATTAAGGCTGGGACTTTGCAGTTTAGAAAAGAGGAGACTAAGGGGGAATATGAAACAGGTCTATTAAAATCATGACTGGTGTGGAGAAAGTAAATAAAGGGAAATTATTTACTTGTTCCCATAACACAAGAACTAGGGGTCACCAAATGAAAATTCATAGGTGGTAGGTTTAAAACCAAAGGAAGCATTTCTCCACACAATGCACAGTCAGCCCATGGAACTCTAGTCAGAAGCTGGAAATGAGTGACAGGGAAGGAATCTGTGACGGGGTATTAGAAGCCCGCATGACTCGGGGCCGGACCCGGAACAGGGTGGCAGAAGGGCGATCCATCTTGTCCCCGCACCAGGAGAAAAGCCGGTGACAGACTGAGCCAGGGAGCAGTGGCCTGTCCACTGGTCGCGCATGCGCCTTGGGTGCCGGAGGAGAAGACCCTGGCGCATGTTCAGGAGAGCGCGGCCCTGTGAGTGACTGCGGGGGCGGGGAAGACAGGGGAGGCAAGATGCTGGCGCCTGTGCAGAAGGGGGAGGGGGGACATTCAAAAAGAAGGAAGGATGGTGCAAGAGGGGGAAGGAGGAAGATGGAGAGGAGGGAAGCTAGAAGTCGGTTAGAGGCATTGCTGGAGGGAAGACAGGACGAACAGAGGTGAGGAAGTAGCCCAGAGCGGGTGGCTGGAGCCCTGCTTGCAGGCTGATGAGTTATAGCCGGGAGGAGGAGCTGGAGCCCTGCTTGCAGGCTGATGAGTTATAGCCGTTAGCCCCATCAGCCAGGTGGAGGGTGGACAGACAGGACACTCCCACCTTAGGGACCTGGGCTGGGGCCTGGAGAGAGGGTGGGCCCAGGCCCCCCCTCACACCCTACTTGGGGTAACAAGTTAAAGCAGAGTTGTGACACTTAATCAAGGAATTGCTGTCGGGCATTCTGTGTAGAAGAGAAAGGAAAGGGGGCAGACCCTCAAAAAAGGGAAGGGGGTTTAATTGTGCCCCTTCACAGAATTACTTAAGGATTCCCTGTTCTGTTCATTCCCTCTAGGGCACCTGGCATTGACCTCTGTCAGAAGACAGGTTACTGGGCTATATGGACCTTTGGTCTGACCCAGCATGGCTGATCTTATGAAAGGCACTAGTTGTCACTGGGAAACATGAATGGTGTTTTTGGGGGGGTTTTGCCATTTAATTTCCTAGTTTATGGGATTTTGTTTTCTGTTAAAGACAACTTCCGATAATCCGGCACCTTTGGGACCCAGGGGATTAAAGAAAACTTCCGATAATCCGGCACCTTTGGGACCCAGGGGTGCCGGATTATTGGATATGCCGTAGTACCGGAAGTGGGACTGAGATGGGTCGGGGGGAGGGGGCAGTTTGGCGGGGAACTGCGCAGTGTGGGCAGCACTCCAGCTGCTCTGCCCCCGGCTTCCCCAAGTCCGCCGCTGGTCAGTTTCAGGTGCTGCTGGGTTGGTCCCGCAGCGCCGCCCCTCACCTGAATGGCTCTGTGGGATCAGTCTGGCAACACTCCAGCCGTTCTGCCCCAGGCTTCCCCAACTCCGCCACTGCTGAAACTGACCAGCGTGGGACTTGGGGAAGCCGGGGGCAGAGCAGCTCCAATTGTCCGGCTGGCCAGAGCACTTCCGGGTTCCAGTTGGTGCCAGACTATCGGGAGTGCCGGACCACTGGATGCCGAACAACTGCAGTCCTACTGTAGTAGAAATGATAGTCATTGTGGCAACTGACCACAGAATGCAGGACAAGTGCCATACTCCCTCCCCAGTCAGCTCAGTATCACAAGTTTTCCTGCTTTTTCAGTTCAGTCACTTTCTTAACTAGTAGATTAAACTATCATCAAAAACTGGTGCGGCACTGCAGCAAACTTTGGTTCCAGGTGCTTAGCGTTAGTTAAGTGCTTTGAGTTTCTTTAGAATTGTGCAGAAAACATATTTTAACATCTTTTGTATTAATTTAAATGAATGTTAAGTTTACATTTCAACAGGTTGTCCATTTAACTTTTTAAATCAAATTCAGTTTTTTGAAATCACTGATTAGCCCTGACAGAAGTAAACTTTGTATTACAGAGTAAAATATTATGTTTGTATTGAAATGTGCAGGGAACAGCTGTATTCTGGTACAATCTTTTTCCAAGTGGAGAAGGAGATTACAGCACACGGCATGCAGCCTGCCCAGTACTAGTTGGAAATAAGTGGGGTAAGTATCTATACTCTGATTTTAATATTTGTGTTACTTCATTGCTTGTGGTAGGATACAGCAGAGCCACAGTTGTAGTACCTAGCTACTTCATTCCAAGACTTTCCCACTTTAGATTTAGTATGTTAAATTTCAGGATATTGCTTTAACATATTTGCGGGTGGGGGAGGAGAGGAGCTTTTCTTGATGTGCTGATATATGCTTAATTTAAATAGAAATTCTTACTATTACGATTTGTCTCTCATAGTGTCCAATAAATGGATCCACGAACGTGGTCAGGAATTCCGAAGACCGTGCACTTTATCAGAGTTGGAATGATGCAAACTCCTTCCCAGTCCTATACTCGTCTGTGTAAAATGTGTCTCCCTGATTATCTTTCAACAATTTTTTAGAATTGACTAACACACACTCCACTAGATTCAGTCTCCCGCCACATCCAGTATGTCATCTGAAGAAATACCTACATTGTTTTAGTTCACTCTACAATATCCCTTTTAAAGTTTTATATAGAGAATATATTGAGGGTTGTGGTTTTAGTTTTTCAAGATAGAAGGACAAAATCAGAGTCGGGGTGATTTGATCTATAGTATCCTTTACTCTGTAGAATCTCTGATCAGCATGGAAAGTCAGTATATGACTTTAGTCCTCATAAGCTTGAGTTTGCCAGTGTTAAAACAACATGAACAATCTAATTTCAAACAGACTCCTTTGGAGGGTTGCATTAAGCCAATCTTTAGGCCTGTGGCTCCAAACTATCAACTCTGTAGCGTGCCTGACCACTAGAATTGAACTGTGGGCATAGTTTGTTTCTCTCTGCGTGACAGGTTACCTTTGTGCCTCATAGCCTGTTTTTCCACTGCTACAAAATCTAGGGTTGACAGACTTGTAAATTCTCTCATATACCTTTACAGTGAATTTGACTTGTAACCCCGAGAATGTGAGTGAGAGCCAGTAGACATATAAATGCAGGTATTTTGGCTGTGCTGTCTGACACCTGTGTACATTAGAACAGCCAGATGGAATTCATGACCTGCTTTCCAGGTCTAGTTTTAATGACTTAGTGTATCAGTTTAAAAAAATGCTGCTTTCTTTTAGTAATAAACTTTTTACATGCATTTCTTGTACAGTGGGAGGGGGACAATACCATTGTGGACTAATCAAAACATTGTGCCTTAGGAGACTGGAATTTCAAATTGGTTATGAGGTAATGTGCAAGCCTCAAAGACTTATTTGTGAAAAGCCAAATTTTCTAATGCTGAAGTCTTTTGCGACAAAGGCAATCTATTTATAATCTTAATTCTTTTTATTTTGATATGTTTTGATATGTTGTAGACATTGAATGCATGCTGTAACTGTCAGGCCTTTAACTCTGGACTGAATTCACACAGGATGTAAATGAATGTAAAAATAAGCTACATCACAACCTAGACCATAGGTTCCCAA